TTTTATATGCTACAGTAAAGGCGTTTTTTGGTGCGCATGGATTTAACTTTTACAATATAAATGGTATTTCCATGACATCGCTATATACTTGTATGTACTCTTCATTTTATGTACTGTTTAATTATTACAAATCAGAAAATAAAGTAAATTTGCGTATTAGTAGATTACCTGGTGTTACACTTAATCATTCATCAAATGCAGCAATCTTATATTTTCCTTATCTCAATGACAATTGAATCATAACGGCAAATATTGTACGTGTGATAATTCCTTCGAATTGATAAACATTGTATCAGTTGTTGATCATTGTATCAGTTGGTGATCATTGTATCAATGTGACGAACATTGTATCAGTTGGTGATCACTGTATCAATGTGACGAACATTATATGAAAGTGACGATCATTGTATCAGTTGGTGATCATTGTATCAATGTGACGATCATTGTATCAGTTGGTGATCATTGTATCAATGTGATGATCATTGTATCAAAGTGCGATCATTCTACCAGTTGGTGATTATTGTATCAGCTGGTGAACATTGCATCAATGTGAAGAACATTGTATCAAAGTGCGATCATTGTATCAGCTGGTGATCATTGAATCAATGTGACGAACATTGTATCAGTTGGTGATCATTGTATCATTGTGATGATCATGGTATCAGTTGGTAATCATTGTATCAATATGATGATCATGGTATCAGTTGTTGATCATTGTATCAATATGATGATCATGGTATCATTTGGTGATCATTGTATCATTGTGATGATCATGGTATCATTTGTTGATCATTGTATCAATGTGATGATCATAAAATGTTATTGTTCCTTTAAGTTCACAATAACATTTTATGATCATCACATTGATACAATGATCAACAACTGATACAATGATCATCACATTGATCATGGTATCAGTTGGTAATCATTGTATCAATATGATGATCATGGTATCAGTTGTTGATCATTGTATCAATGTGATGATCATAAAAAGTTATTGTGAACTTAAAGGAACAATAACATTTTATGATCATCACATTGATACAATGATCAACAACTGATACAATGATCATCACATTGATCACCAACTAATACAATGATCGTCACGTTGATTAAATGATCACGGACTGATGCGATGTTAGTCACATTGATCACCAACTGATACCATGATCAATGTGATGATCATGGTATCAGTTGTTGATCATTGTATCAATGTGATGATCATAAAATGTTATTGTGAACTTAAAGGAACATGTTCCACTGCACTGTTCATTTATAACTGAATCACAGTTGGGCCAAGACACTTCCATTTAGATATAACTGAAGCACAGTTGGGCCAATACACTTCCGTTTAGATATAACTGAAGCACGGTTGGGCCAATACACTTCCGTTTAGATATAACTAAAGCACAGTTGGGCCAATACACTTCCGTTTAGATATAACTGAAGCACAGCTGGGCCAATACACTTCCGTTGGCAAGGTAGCTCAGTTGGTTAAAGTGATAGAATAACAATCTGCAGTCAATGGTTTGAAAATCGGTCTAGCCCCGCTGAATTTAAACTCAGAACACGGTTCTTGATTATATTTTGACGAATTCATCTTTATTATTTTTTCACAAATCAGCAATAATTTATCAAATCTATAGTCATGCAAGAAAAAAAACAGTATCCAATGAGAAGGGGAGACCTGGGCAAGTTCGGCCCATTTTTATTGAAGTCGTTCTGGACAGAATGGCATTTGTCGAAATTTATGTACATATACCATTCGGAAGTGAAATTCCGAATATTTCAATAACAAAAAGGTAAAACACGTCCGTATTTGAAGAACAAGGATATCTTTTTCTGTCGAAAGATTAGATGTCCGAACGTGCCCCGCCTTTGGAAAATTTCTGACGGGCACTATCAATTAGTTCGTATATTGCAGCGAGACGAATCAAAGCTAGACTATTATGTATAGGCCTACCTATACCATCATGTAACGTTGTCAGTGTGTAAGATTTTAAAGAAAGAAGTGAGGTCATGATTTTCTTTCTACCCTCCAATAAGTAACTTATTGAATTTTCTTCGCCATTTTTTCTGCGAATGTCCCGCCGATTCAACAGAACAACAAGACCAAAAATATCAGGGGTGGTCGGATATTCCCAGGGGTCTCCATTACACATTGAATTCAGTTTTTTGAGGTAGCCTAGAATTGAACAGATTAAATTCCAAAATGTCACCAGAAAGTCATTGAACCTTGTAGGTGATTAATAATCATATCAGTCGAGAGTTAAGATTCCGTAACAAAATCCCAACCGAGGCGTCTTCTACTTCGTAATGGTACTGACCAACTTCAACAATTTGAAGATAAAATGTCAGACGAGGAGTGAAACATGGAAAGAGATATTTTTCAAAAGATACGAGATGGTCTAATTTGCGTTTGAAAAGTGACGGTAGAGGGCTGATTTGAATAATTCCGTTGTTGGGGCTCGAAATACTGTCAGGTGGGATTTTATTCCACTTGGGTATAGTTCGAGGGAAGAATGATGCCTTTCTTTCTGGTCTGGGTTTTTGAGTGGGGAATTTGATAGGAAAACCGGTGGTTTGTTCGGGATTTTCTAACTGTATGGATTAATCTGTCTGATTTTACGATAGCGACTTTCTGGTTTACAATGTTATGAAGCATGGTCAGACGAGCATCTCTACGTCTATCTGCTAGAGGGCGCAGCTTTAAGTGGTCCAACATTTCTGACACACTGGAGGTACGATGGTTGTACCTGTGCTTATTGAGCACATAGCGCGCTGCCCTTCGCTGGACCATTTCCAACTTTTCAATATTTGTTTGGGTGTGATGGTCCCATCCTGTACAGGCATACTCAAGTGATGGTCGAACTAACGATTTGTATGCCTGTGCTTTGGCTGATGTTGAGCCAATTTTAAGATTTCGTCTTAAAAAGCCTAGCGTAGAATTTGCTTTTGGGCAGATAGTATTTATATGGGAATCCCATTTAAGGTCAGATGATAGTGTTACACCCAGATACTTGGCCTGACTAAGATGTTCCAGTATGTGTCCATGTAAAGTATAATTATGGACTATTGGAGTTTTGTTTTTAGTCACCGACAACACATTGCATTTGTTTGGGTGGAAGATCATTTTCCATGTATTTTCCCAGAGCGCTAGTTTGTCAAGATCGTTTTGAAGTGTTTCTGCATCACTGTTTGACTTGATAACTAGATATGCAATAGTGTCGTCTGCAAATAAACGGATTTTAGCATTTAGACCCACAGGGATATCGTTTATAAAGTAAAGAAATAAACTGGGTCCCAAAACTGACCCCTGGGGTACCCCGGAATGGACATCGACAAAATCAGACTTCTCCCCTTAAACTACTACTGTCTGAGCTCTACCGGTCAGGAAACTCTCGATCCAGTTTGCGACATTTCCAGGTATACCATAATGTTTTAGTTTATGGTTTAGGAGAGAATGGCTGACCTTGTCGAAAGCCTTAGCAAAGTCCATTATGAGGATATCTGTTTGGCGTCCCTCATCAAGATTCTTTGAGATGTCATCCACAAATTCAAGAAGTTGGGTTTCGCATGATCGCGATTTGCGAAAACCATGTTGGAATGGATACAATATGTTAGGCGTAAGCCGAGGTTGGGATGTTGGAATTTAGCCCGAGACTGAGATAACCCGATCTTGCTCTGTTACAGGTAAAAAAAATCTCGCACCTTAAGGTTTAAAAATAAAATCTATTTTGCTAAAAACTACAGGTATCCCGTCTGTGGCTCCAAATGACATCGACCTCTTCACTACTAAAGCTACATTTGAATGCTTCCGCGTAAAAATGTAGTCCGTGCTACTATTTTATCTACAATACCAAAGATCTAACAACATCAAATTACATATCTCAACAAAACAGAACATTTATAATGCAGATTGTCAATTTAACGCGCGAATGAATACATCGATATGTTAAAATTCTTCGATATGTCACGTAAAGGTGCAAGACAGATATGATCAGATAGAAAAATCTAGCATGGAGTATGACGTGAGATATCTCTGTCTGAGGTGCGAGAAACTCGGGTCTGGTTACTAATTTCTTAAAAATAGTGTGCTAACGTCACGCTACCACAATTGGTACAATTTTGACGGTTTTTTAGTCATATTTAAAAATTCAGATCTTGTATCTGGAACGTTTCTTGATTCCTGACAAAGACTACCTATGGTGGTTCATTTTCAAGAAAAGATGTATATCTAGGTAATTTATCTTTGAAAATAGAACGCTAAACTCGGATTGAGATTTCGTCCGTTTTTCGTCCGTAAATAGTACCCATATTGGTACACCATATCACACACTATCGAAACTGTTTTTATTTCTACAAGTTGATGTGCCGATTACAACAAAATATATTGCTTTTATAGATACCATACTGAACTATATTTGTATATATTCACTTTTATATTATCCGAATATAAGGACCAGAAATCAACATTTAAACATGCTTATATTTAACCCCTTGAAAATCCTCCAAAATTTCGTCGACGTACGTCGTTTTTACTTGTTTTCTGATATGTTTACTTTGAAGTCATCGTGTACTCTTAAAATGTTCCTGAAAACAAAACTATTCGGCAGAAATGCTGATAAATATCTATTTTGTTATACTGTCAAAGAAAAATGCTGAAATTTAATTTTAAAGTACTATTCGAACAATTGTCTGACCGTGTACCAATTTGGGTAGTGTACCAATTGTGGTAGCGTGACGTTACGTTGATTTCGTGTTTAAAGGGAAGCAACTCGTATAAGAAATAACAATATTCTTGAAATTTGTCTTCCTAATAGTATTACAACATGAGGCGACATCATAATATGATAATATGATTTTCAAAGATTGATGATATTTTGAAAAAACAAACACGCACACAGACCTTGACTTGTTAGGTACAAGAGATACTATTTACCTAAACGATATAAAATACTAACCGCTCCCAGACGGAAGTTGATATGTTCTCACCGGAAGTTGTCCGTATCCAAGCAACATTTCAACATCTGACACTGCTTGGTGGTCTTCAAGAACGTTTCACTGATTACAAGGAACTGAAAGACTTTTGAGAGCTGCATCTCACAGGTAATGATATTTGCTGGTTAAAGAAGTTTTCATTTTAAATTTCGCAAGCAAATGTTGAGGACAGCTAATGATATGCACTGTTTTAGAGTTTGTTTTGTTGACTGTTTTATTTCCCGTTGCCTAACCGTGGATATCATATATAGGCCTACCTTATGTTGAACATTTGTAAAGACTGGGCTCCTTCTAAGTTCTTGCATAATGTCATTGTCCTTTTAACAGTTCCAGCTAAGTTTCGATTCGCGCGCATCCATATAAAGCAACTGACACTCGCGATCTGAATATCACTATGGCCCGGGTTCAGTGTTGTTGTTATTTACGTTGATTGGACTTTATCATGTGATAGTCATAATGTACTGTACGCCTTGATTTTTCTATATTGTGCCGTTTGTCATATATTTGTACTTCAAAATGACCAGCGTCTAATATCATGTTTTGAGTAGTTGAAATATATATATATATATTTGACATATGTGTCAATCCCATATGCGTACGTTTACCTTGATTGAATAACAGACTAACAGTAGGCCTAATTCGTAATTCCAAGTCATTGCTGATTTAGTCTATTTTCGTTTGAAGGAAGTCAACATGCCAGCTGCAGTTGTAACCGCGACGGACCTGGAAAACAATATCCGCACTCTGTCACAGACAAAGCGAATACGAGTCACAGAATTTTTCCAAGACTTTGACAAGCTCCGTTCAGGATTTATTTCAGGTATGTAAAATGAAAATTTAGGCTATAACATTTTCTTTTTCATATTTACGTGCCTTAATACATTTTTTCTACAATACTTCTTATAAAATGTATCAACATCCAATAAAATTATTGAAACTAGTTTTTGTATTAATATTTAAAAAACAATTGCCGAAAAGGCCATTTGTTAAGATTATTATATGTGCTTTTAAGATAATAACAAAAAATTGAAGGATGATGTATGTTAAATCCCTTTTCCCCTTTCAACAGACCAGCAGTTTTTCCGATGTTTATGGCTAACCCTAGGACTCCAGCTTGATGATGAACAAGCAAATATTTTGCGACAAAAATATGACTTAAAACGAGATCAACGGATGCACTATAAGTCTTTCTGTGAGGAAATAGAGAAAAACTTCAATCCTGGCGATCTAACAATTTCTCCACATTTGCAGAAAAAGGAGGCTCCTGAATTGTAAGTTGTTTTTATGTTACACATACAGATTTTTGTATTAGTACATAGTAACATCCAAGTTTGATGTGATGCACATACACATTATTCATGATAATTTTTTTTAGAAAACTTTGATTAAATTCCTTTAACTGACTCAAAAACTGGTCATGTTTTAATATCAGCTAGCATTTACTTTGCATCATTTATCTTTCAATACTGTCGTTCTATAACACCACAGTTTGGGAACCAAGCGATCTGTGCGGCCATTGAGTCCTCAGACAGAAGATAAAATTCTGAAGCTCCTCTATCGAATGCAACAGTTCTATCAGTACCATGGGATCAATCTGAGGACTTGCTATGAGGACTTTGACCGCCATCACATGGGTGTAGTCACTGAGAGTCAGGTAAATGCTTGCATATGTTAGATGTTCATTTCATACACTAGATGTTTATTCAGCTTTTGCTTTTATATTAGTATTTATGCTGCGTTTTTTTATGCAATGGCTACAAAATTTTGTCAATGCATGTCAAAAACTCACTCATATAATTGATATTTTTGGCATAATGTGAATGTTGCGATTGTTATATAGTGTCACAAATACCAGTGTATTTCAAAACACATTTCACAGGAATGTTAATTGGCAATAACTTTTGTATGTTTTCAGTTTTACCGAAGTTTTCCTGGTCCCCCAGATGTCAATGACAATGAAATGAGTATGTTGGTGATGAAGTATCGGGATCCTGACAAGCCAGGTCTCCTCAACTATCTCAATCTGCACCACGACATTGTGGCTATTGGACAGAAACTGACCGAGTCTGTCAGCAGCGTCCTGGACAGAAATGTGGATCTCGTGCCATTGCTGGTAGGCATTCATATTATCTCTTCCCTGGAGAATTCTTTATAAGCATTGGTTAATATATTAAATTTTAGACTTTGCCAGTGGACTGTCAAACAATATGAATTATCATTTAAACATCATAATCAAATATCATCAGAGTACAGGTAATTTATAATTAAACTATTAATTTTGTCCCCAGTGATCAAGTGAATGTCAGATAATAACACATTTTATTGTATATATATATATATACATAATGTTATTTTGCAATTATTTGATTTACAGGTCATGATTAACAGATTACTAAGTGTGACATGATATATGAAAAACATTTGTGAACAGTGATGGTCATATAACAAGCAATACATATTATATACTCTACATGGTAATGATTATAGGTCTTTGTAATATCACTTTATCTCTTGTAGCCAAATGTGGATCCAGCTCTCAGCATGATCTTTGACAAGATCAGGGTGGCAGTGTTTAAAAACGGGATACGTACACCAGAGTTTTTTAAGGATCATGACAAGCTGAGGAGTGGTATCATCACAGAAAATCAGTTTGTGTGTGGCCTGGCTCTGGCAGTAGGGAAGGAGGCCCAGCTTTCACGTGCCGAGATACAGAAGGTGGTGGAATATTACAGACAGCCAGATGGACGAGTCCAGTACCAGGAGTTCTGTGACATGATGGAAAATGGTAGACACAAAAATCATTTTTAAATTTGACAGGTTAAATTTGGGATCAGATTATATGTTAAGATAACAGCAAGGATTACTTTTTTTCTTGTTTATTTTAGTCAGTTTATAATCTTGGAGTCATTCCATTATTCTTTTTTATTGTATATATTGTATTCAATTTTTTGTTGTTGTATAGAATATTTGCAGAGAAATTTAGAGTAAAAATAGATGTGTAGAGCTTATCTTGGAATATTCATTGTTTCAGTGTCTGCTAATTATTATTTTGTACTTTACAATTAAAACTTCTGTTTTACTTGCAGCATTTAACATTCCACATTTGGACAAGAAACCACTTCAGAATGTTGTGCGACCATTAAAGGGAACATTACATAGAGTGAGTTTGAAATGAATTCTTCAAGTTTGACGGGAGTATTATGGTGTGGTGTCGTCCGTCTGTCCGGCGTAAACTTTTGTTTGTCCGGCAATCTCCTCCTACGTTTTTTGACCGATCTCTTTGAAACTTGGTATACATTATAATCATGATATGAAGTTGTGTCTCCCTTAAAGAATTTTGATTCGACAATTTTTTCAAAAGTTATTGCCCTTTGTTCATTTCAGTATTTGATTTTTTGTCCAGAGATCTCAATCCTCCTACATTTTTTGACGGATTTCTTTGAAACTAAGTAGGCTAAATAATAATGATATGTTGTTGTGTTTTCTTGAAAAGAAATTTGATTCAACAATTTTTCCAAAATTTATTGCCCTTTGTTTATTTCAGTACTTGATTTTTGTCCGACAATCTTCTCCTACATTTTTCAACGGATCTCTTTGAAACTTGGTATACATTATAATCAAGATATGAAGGTGTGTCTCCCTTAAAAGAATTTTGATTTGACGACTTTGCAAAAGTTCTTGCCCTTTGTTCATTTCAGTACTTGATTTTTTGTCCAGACATTTTCTCCTACATTTTTTATAGCATTTTATATATTCGACGGACGTATATTGTTATGCCTTACGGTACTCTTGTTAAAAGATTTAGAAGATCATGTGTTTTCACCTCCTGGTAGATAGTATTGACATCTACCAGGTAAAACCTAGGTTTAAAGATGATGTTCTTTATTTGATCTTTATGTTATTTGCAGCCAAATTGTTCCATGATACTGTCTTAAACACAATGTAGTCAGGGTCTTTGACATTTTTATAATGCCTGTGTTGTAAACAAACCAGAATGTACTCAATACCAGGTACTAATGTACTACCATGTACTATTACAATGTATCTGGTGAATATAAGTTCAAATTGGTGATGGTTAAATAACTTTATGTTGATTTGTGTAGGGACTGAAACCTTTGTCTGACGAACAAGAAGCCAGGATCAGGGTCATCCTTGGGGAAATCTCAGAGCAGGTCAAGAGGCGACGACTCATGATGTATCCATACTTCAAGGATTATGACCGGGTAGGTCAGATATATATATATACCCTATCATGTCAGATAGCACTCTTCTTGCTCTATGTATCTCAAGATTGAGTGAAACTAAGATTTACCTTTCAATAGATAAACATATTATCCTAATTCTAACTCTTAGTGATTTTTGTGTGTCCATACTTTTTTTAGGTACCCATATTACACTCAAATTGTTCCATTGCCATGAACACTGTTATATTAATTTGAACATTGATGGATGTGGTTACAGGGTATTGCCTACACCAGGGTGGTCACTAAGACTCAGTTTGGACGTATCCTCCATTTCCTTAGCCTTAACATAGCAGCTGAGGACCTGAAATTAATCTGTTTAAAGTTTGAGGACCCAGCAAGTGGTGACGTCAACTATCCCGCATTTGTTCAGGCAGTTGACCAAGGTATGATGGCTTGAAGAATCTTTCAGTTTCTTACCCTACATCATTGCACTTCAGTACTATCACATATAACTATCACATTATATGTGATTCTCTTTAACATTTTCTATTCATTTGCTGATAAAAAGTGTTTTCTTAATTGAATATTGGAATTATAGTTATATACACAATTGGACAACATACACTACAGAGTACAAAGGATATATGATTGTCATATACTGGTATGTGTACTGGACCCAAATGGGCAAAATAGAAATGTTTTTATCGTGCAAAATCACAAGTGAAAATGGTGCAGTGACAAACAACATTTTAAATCTTTCAATCTCTAGGTAAAAGACACAACTTTTTACCCACAGATTGAAATTAAGATTTTTTATTTATTTTTTCTAAGTCGGTCTGAACAGTTACTGCACCAAGTTAATAAAGTGCCTCCCAGTGACCATATCCTGCCTCACCACCTCCCATCTTACTTAGTCCCCATTTTCTTTACAATTTTTCTTATTATTAAGAATTTGTTGGGCACACTTTGGATGATGCAAATATGATGGATAAGAATCGTACCAACACACCAGTGCCTTCCAAACCGGTCAGTGCTACAGACAGCAACGTCAGCTATGAGGACCTCATGTCCAGGATCAGACACATCGTCCTCACCAACAGACTCCGGGTAAGTTGTGTCACATTGTCCTTTACAACAAACTCTGGGTTAGTTCTGTCACATTGTCCATTACAACAAACTCTGGGTTAGTTCTGTCACATTGTCCTTAACAACAGACTCTGGGTAAGTCCTATCACATTGTCCTTAACAACAGACTCCGGGTAAGTTGTGCCACATTGTCCTTAACAACAGACTATGGGTAAGTTCTGTCACATTGTCCATTACAACAGACTTCAGGTAAGTTCCATCACATCATCCCTAACAACAGACTCCAGGTAAGTTCTGTCACATCATCCTTGACAACAGACTCTGGGTAAGTCCTGTCACATCATCCTTAACAACAGACTCTGGATAAGTTCTGTCACATTGTCCCTAACAACAGACTCTGGATAAGTTCTGTCACATTGTCCCTAACAACAGACTCTGGATAAGTTCTGTCACATTGTCCCTAACAACAGACTCTGGATAAGTTCTGTCACATTGTCCCTAACAACAGACTCTGGATAAGTTCTGTCACATTGTCCCTAACAACAGACTCTGGATAAGTTCTGTCACATTGTCCCTAACAACAGACTCTGGATAAGTTCTGTCACATTGTCCCTAACAACAGACTCTGGATAAGTTCTGTCACATTGTCCCTAACAACAGACTCTGGATAAGTTCTGTCACATTGTCCCTAACAACAGACTCTGGATAAGTTCTGTCACATTGTCCCTAACAACAGACTCTGGATAAGTTCTGTCACATTGTCCTTAACAACAGACTCTGGGTAAGTCCTGTCACATCATCCTTAACAACAGACTCTGGGTAAGCTCTGTCACATTGTCCTTAACAACAGACTCTGGGTAAGTTCTGTCACATCATCCTTGACAACAGACTCTGGGTAAGTTCTGTCACATCATCCTTGACAACAGACTCTGGGTAAGTTCTGTCACATCATCCTTAACAACAGACTCTGGGTAAGTTCTGTCACATCATCCTTGACAACAGACTCTGGGTAAGCTCTGTCACATTGTCCTTAACAACAGACTCTGGGTAAGTTCTGTCACATTGTCCCAGACTCTGGGTGACCCTGACAGCCAGGCCTTGGCATTATTAGAGAAAGTTTCTTACAATTTTGCTGGCATTTCTCAATGAATCCAATCCAGGTAGCTGTCCTTTCACAACGGGTAAAATATCCTGTGGTACATAATGTGGTTACTTTAAGTATATTAAAATGTTCATGGCCATACTGACAGCTTGTCAGCTGCTTACATAAGTGATTTATAAGTAAATTGCTTCTCTAAGGTAAATAAGGTCTTTATTATGCAGTCAGAGCATTCAAATAATGGAAAAAGTGGGAAAAATTAGCAAAAATTCAACACAACATAAAAATGACCAGCTTTACAGCATTCCTGGTGTGCCGTATCACACATAATGACATATGTTGTTAGTATACAGTTTCAGCACTGAAATTAAAAAGAGTGTTTCAATGAACTATTTAAAGGGCTCTTTTTGATTTTAAATCAATGGCAAGAAAGAACACAAAAATTACAAAATACTGAAAAAATTACCAACCGTTAACTGTTGTGTTTAGGCACTCAACTGAGAGTAAAGCACATATCTTAGCACGTAGTATTTTCAAATAGATAAACTTTTCAGCAATATATTATTTGTAAGCTAGAGCTGCTTGCAGAACACTTGAGTATTTTCCCCTGTGCTTCAAACTCATGAAAATATCATTATTTTTGCATAATCATGAAACATACGGTATACATTGGGAGATCTTCAAAATCTATTCACTGTTTGCAATTATGAAATATGTTGATGTCACAAAATTATTTTTGGTCCACAGGTGATTGAGTACTTCCAGGATTACGACCCCTTAAGGAGTGGCTCCATCAGTAAGAGCCAGTTTAGACGGGGCCTGTCCCTGCTGGGTCTCAGTAAGCTGGGACAGCATGACCTGCTGGATCCCCAATATCAGGTTCTAATTGATTATTACCAGAACCCAGTCAAGGAAGACCAGGCCCTCTGGACCAAATTCACCTATGATATTGAAACAGGTGAGTTATAAACAACATGTCAGGGCAGTTCATCAGTAGCTTAAATATACTTAAAATGGATTATGTTTTCTTTTTGTGAAATTTACGATGTTTTCGAGCCTCATGTCTTTGATTGGGCATTTTGATTCCATAATGATAGTGAATAGAGAAATAATTATGAATTGATGTATGAGAAATAAGCAAAAATTATGGACATGTCTGGTGAAAGGAGCTGGATTAAAATAACTTCTTTGTCATTTAACCTGTCTCAGTGCTGCCAGTATGAAAGCCATCAAACAGTTACTCTCAAAGTGATATATTCCATACAATTTAGCTACAAAACATAAATGGTACAAGTGTAATGTGTAATATGTTGTGATTGCAGTTTTCACACAGCCAGGACTGGAAAAGGAGCCAACCTACCAGGTCCCCCCTGTGGACATGTTCAGGGTCCCCAAACCTGGGAGCATTGACTGGACCAATGCCACAGAGGACCACAAGACCCTGTTTGAGAGCACTATGGAGAGGCTGAGACAGAGAATTAACCAACGTAGGGTATTGGCCAAACCAGTATTCCAGGATTTTGATAGGTAAGGATGATGTTCTCAGATCTGACAGGTAAGGGTCATCTAGTGAGTTCCAGGTGTGACAGATTAGGGTGACCTCAGGTGGTTGGGTCGCACAGTGAATATAGCAGTAATTTGCCTTTCACTAAGATGGCCAGGGTTCAACTCTCTGATCGGATGTGAAACAGTAGCTGGGTCACCAGTGCCTAACCACACATAAATTTTCACCACATACTCTTGTTTCTCCTACATTAAGACCCCTTGTGTGCTTCTATCTGAGCCAACAAGAGTGATTTATAAAAGTTGAAAAAACTTGACTCGTGATTGTTGTAAAATAGATTAAGGGTATATTTAATGCACCAGTTAATAATCACTAAGGGTAGATAAGGGCGCACCTTCACTAAAATAATATTTTATGAGACAATAAATGTATTGAAATTTAGATCAAAGATAAAAAATTAAATTCTGGCATCCTGATAAAGGTAAGCTAATTACGCCAATACCATTGTCTTGTGTGTTATCTATTATTTAAGTGAACAGAGCTTCATTGCATGTTATAAATTAAGGCTAGCATGATGCTAGGTAGCTGATGCTGCAGCGAGTTCTTGGAAGGATTTAGGAGGTACAAAAAGGAGAATTTCAAATTGTGTACACTAGCCATTTAACACTTTTGATATTGCTCCATAGGACCCTGCATCAGAGATGTGGGTTATTATCTTAGAATCCAAAACACTAATCTTTTAGAAATTTGACATGGTGATGAACTTTGATATGTAATGTGAAGCAGGGGTTTAAAAGTTTCTAAGGTCAAGATCAAGGTCGCTGTTACTGAAAATATACCATATGGGGGTATACATGTATGTCCATCAAACACGATTGCTGTAACTTCTGCTTGGTTCTTATGTGTGGTATATACAGTCATGCACCGCTCACAAAGGACTGCATGCAAGTTCTAATGTGGGCTATATACCGTCATGCACCGCTCACATAGGACTGCATGCAGGTACTTATGTGGGGGATATACAGTCATGCACCGCTCACATAGGACTGAATGCAGGTTCTTATGTGGGGTTTATACAGTCATGCACTGCTCCCATAGGACTGCATGCAGGTTCTTATGTGGGGGATATACAGTCATGCACCACTCACATAGGACAGCATGCAGGTACTAATGTGGGTATATACAATCATGCACCGCTCACATAGGACTGCATGCAAGTTCTTATGTGGGATATATACAGTCATGCACCGCTCACATAGGACTACATGCAAGTTCTTATGTGGGGTTTATACAGTCATGCACTGCTCCCATAGGACTGCATGCAGGTTCTTATGTGGGGTATATACAGTCATGCCCCGCTCCCATAGGACTGCATGCAGGTTCTTATGTGGGGGATATACAGTCATGCACCACTCACATAGGACTGCATGCAGGTACTAATGTGGTTATATACAGTCATGCACCGCTCACATAGGACTGCATGCAGGTACTTATGTGGGGGATATACAGTCATGCACCGCTCACATAGGACTGTATGCAGGTTCTTATGTGGGGTATATACAGTCAAGCACCGCTCACATAGGACTGTATGCAGGTTCTTATGTGGGGTTTATACAGTCATGCACTGCTCACATAGGACTGCATGCAGGTTCTTATTTGGGGTATATACAGTCATGCACTGCTTACATAGGACTGTATGCAGGTTCTTATGTGGGTATCAGTATTGTTTGAATGGATGGTGCTTATGAAGAATTGAGTACAATCAGAAGTTTGTCTGACTTACCTTGCAGACACAACAATGGTCACGTGACTGTGGCCCAGTTCCGACAGTGTCTCACCATGTTGGAGCTACATTCCACAGAATCAGAAATGGCAGCCCTGGAAGCAAAGTTTTGTAATGATGTTGGCTTCAACTACTTGGCCTTCCTCAATGAGCTCCAGCCCATCATATCTCCAAAATTCATGTACGAGACTCGTCTTGAGGAACTGCGCCTAACCAACAAGAAAACAAAACTACCAGAAACCAATTCTGCAAAAGATTTGGAGGAAGTTCTCATGAAAGTGAAAACAAAGGTAAAATTTTAACACATGAAACTACATCAACAATGAAACGTTTGATTTTGATACACATTTTTAATCCCCCCATGATATTATGACATGGTGACTGTCTGTCTATCCATCCCTCATCCACACTTTGGTTTCCACAAGATATCATAAATATATGTAACTGAAATATAACTCATTGGTAAAACTTGATAAGCATGTAGAGGTTGACCAAAATATGGATAGCACGGAGTGCTCTGATTGGTAGACGGAATGTTCCAGTATAATCAATTCATGAACTATCACTGGATCCTGATTAAACTTGATCAATAGTGATATTGTACAAAGCTAACTTCAAAATTGAGCAAAATCTGGGAATAATTAATTAGCATACTGAGCTCTGATTGGTCATCAGTTTCTGGAGATTTTTTTTTATCAAACTATGACCAACTTTTGATGAAACTTTGTTGATATTTTTACTTATATTACAATACAAAGGCAAAGTCTAAATTCAAATTTGAGCCAAAATTTCCTGTTATTAAGAAGCAATTTAAAATGAATTGATTATGAACAAAGGGGGGCAATATCTGTACAATTACCGTACCTTTTATAAGGCAATTTTTATACACAATGAAAACTTTTTTTTAAACATATTTAAAGATACATATTCCTTCACCTAGTGAAGTAAGGTACAACATGTTTTTACCTTTCACCACAACCTAGATATGATTCAACTTTACCAAGTAATAATCTACAAATGTCCATATATATACTTCATATTACAATTCAATAGTTTCATACACTTAAATACCAGAACCATCAGAAGGATTCTAAGTATGACACTTTGGTGTGGGATGGGCAACTATTGTTCTGATCATAAGATACTATTGTTCATTTTTGTCCTCATACATACTTTTTTGCGCAAAAACAATTGATTTCCTATAAAATAATATTACATTACATTGGATTCAAAAGAAGGAAAACTAAAACAATCTTTACAATGAAACTGCATCTCCTACCTGAGACACTTGTTCTAGCCATAACAAATGTCATTGGGGATGGGGATGCCATTGTGAAGAACATTCATTTTTATGCTGAAGCTAATTTACATATTGGCTCATGTTTTTAAGGTGAGCAAAGAGCGTATTCGAGTGATAGAGTTCATGAGGGACTATGACAAGCTAAGATCTGGCAGAATGCTGAAAACATCATTCAGGAGAGCTCTGGATCTGTGTCGCTTTGAGCTGAAGGAGAGTGAGGCCTCTATACTAGAAGACAGGTAAGCTGCTGCTGTCATTCACATTACTGGAGGACTAGTAACACACTCTTTACAGCAGTTGTCATTCACTTTACTAGAGGACAAGTAACACACTTTTCAGCAGTTGTCATTCACTTTACTAGAGAACAAATAACACTCATGTCAGCAGTTGTCAGTGACTTTACAAGAGGACAAGTAACACACTTGTCAGCAGTTGTCATCCACTTTACTAGAGGACAAGCAACACTCTTGTCATCAGTTGTCATTCACTTTACAAGAAGACAAGTACCACTCATGTCAGCAGTTGTCATTCACTTTTACTAGAGAACAAGTAACACTCATGTCAGCAGCTGTCATTCACTTTACAAGAAGACAAGTAACACTCATGTCAGCAGTTGTCATTCATTTTACTAGAGAACAAATAACACTCATGTCAGCAGTTGTCAGTGACTTTACAAGAGGACAAGTAACACACTTGTCAGCAGTTGTCATTAACATTACTGGAGGACAAGTAAAACACTCTTTTCAGCAGTTGTCATTCACTTTACTAGAGGACAAGTAACACTCTTGTCAGCAGTTGTCATTCATTTTACAAGAGGACAAGTAACACTCATGTCAGCAGTTGTCATTCACTTTTACTAGAGAACAAGTAACACTCATGTCAGCAGTTGTCATTCACTTTACTAGAGGACAAGCAACACACTTGTCAGCAGTTGTCATTCACTTTACAAGAGGACAAGTAACACTCATGTCAGCAGTTGTCATTCACTTTACTAGAGGACAAGTGACACACTTGTCAGCAGTTGTCATTAACATTACTGGAGGACAAGTAAAACACTCTTTTCAGCAGTTGTCATTCACTTTACTAGAGGACAAGCAACACACTTGTCAGCAGTTGTCATTCACTTTACTAGGGGACAAGTAACACACTTGTCAGCAGTTGACATTCACATTACTGGAGGACAAGTAACACACTCTTGTCAGCAGTTGTCATTCACTTTACTAGAGGTCAAGTAACACTCTTGTCAGCATTTGACATTCACTTTACTAGAGGACAAGTAACACACTTTTCAGCAGTTGTCATTCACTTTACTAGAGAACAAATAACACTCATGTTAGCAGTTGTCAGTGACTTTACTGGAGGACAAGTAACACACTTGTCAGCAGTTGTCATTCACTTCACTAGAGAACAAATAACACTCATGTCAGCAGTTGTCAGTGACTTTACAAGAGGACAAGTAACACACTTGTCAGCAGTTGTCATTCACTTTACAAGAGGACAAGTAACACTCATGTCAGCAGTTGTCATTCACTTTACTAGAGGACAAGCAACACTCTTGTCATCAGTTGTCATTCACTTTACAAGAAGACAAGTAACACTCATGTTAGCAGTTGTCATTCACTTTACTAGAGGACAAGTAACACACTTGTCAGCAGTTGTCATTCACTTTACTAGAGGACAAGCAACACTCTTGTCATCAGTTGTCATTCACTTTACAAGAAGACAAGTAACACTCATGTCAGCAGTTGTCATTCACTTTTACTAAAGAACACACTTTTGTCAGCAGTTGTCATTCATTTTACTAAAGAACAAGTAACACTCTTGTCAGCAGTTGTCATTCATTTTACTAGAGAACAAGTAACACTCATGTCAGCAGTTGTCAGTCACTTTAATGGAGGACATTCAAAGCTGCAGTTAGCAGTTGTCACTCATTTTACTAGAGCTGGGTCGGGATACCTGAAAAACACAAAATGGTGGGATGTTCCCTAGCATATATTACATTGACATTGTAAGTCCAGTGAAACATGATTTACGTGAAGGTTATGTACCAGGTAAATGTTAATTTACATGTAGGTACCAGTTTGATGTTAATTTACATATGTCTTGTAGATACCAGACCTATGGGGATGCTGAATATGTTGACTACCTGAGGTTCTGTGATGAGGTGGAGTCCATTTTCACCTTTAAGGAGCTGGAGAAGGCTCCCCTACAGAACCCTGTTCAGTTCAAACCTCCCCAGGAGTGGGCCCTCAACAAACTGGAGGGAGATGCTGAAATCAAGTGGCAAGCCTGCATGAACAGAATAGCCGAGAAGGTAATTAAGTGAAAGTACTTTTCCATAATGTCTTCAGTTGAAATCAAAGGTAATTTACCTCTAAATTTAACTTAGAAAGAATTCTCACCATCTATAGGTATTTGTTGAAAAAAAAATGATGAATTATTTCATTTATTTGAATTGCAGGTAAGGAAACACCAGATGCAGTTATTCCCATTGTTTGAGGATTATGACAGGGTCCACAATGGGACGGTGTCAAGGTCACAGTTCCGTAGAGTACTCAGCGAGCTGGAGCTAGGCAGCCTTGTCAGTGAGCAGGAATTTGAGTTACTGTGGTTCAAATTTGACGTGAAGATTGGCGGCAAGGATGATGTTGATTATACTGCTTTCTGTGAAATGATTTATGAGTTGGCTAAATTTGAATGGAGGAAGCCATGATGAAACTAACAAACTGTAAGAAGAATTAAAAAATTAAAAACAATTTCAAAAACATTTAAGACTGAAAATGATACTAGGAATACACGTACAATAAAAAAATGAAAGTGGATGATGAAGATAGGATTTGGAGAGGTAAACTTGGTGTACCCTCATTGTTATCTGAGCCTGGGATCTGCAAACAGACAATATGTTGGATAGGATAAAAACTGTTATATGTATTTAATTATTTCTCTGTGAAGTGCTTTCAACTGCTTTCTATTTTACATGTTGTCAAAAATATAACAAATTGAGAATGTCTGTAGTATGTTTTGTGGTTCTCTGGATGAGAGGGATTTAATTCTTAAGCAGCAATACTTGTANGAAACACCAGATGCAGTTATTCCCATTGTTTGAGGATTATGACAGGGTCCACAATGGGACGGTGTCAAGGTCACAGTTCCGTAGAGTACTCAGCGAGCTGGAGCTAGGCAGCCTTGTCAGTGAGCAGGAATTTGAGTTACTGTGGTTCAAATTTGACGTGAAGATTGGCGGCAAGGATGATGTTGATTATACTGCTTTCTGTGAAATGATTTATGAGTTGGCTAAATTTGAATGGAGGAAGCCATGATGAAACTAACAAACTGTAAGAAGAATTAAAAAATTAAAAACAATTTCAAAAACATTTAAGACTGAAAATGATACTAGGAATACACGTACAATAAAAAAATGAAAGTGGATGATGAAGATAGGATTTGGAGAGGTAAACTTGGTGTACCCTCATTGTTATCTGAGCCTGGGATCTGCAAACAGACAATATGTTGGATAGGATAAAAACTGTTATATGTATTTAATTATTTCTCTGTGAAGTGCTTTCAACTGCTTTCTATTTTACATGTTGTCAAAAATATAACAAATTGAGAATGTCTGTAGTATGTTTTGTGGTTCTCTGGATGAGAGGGATTTAATTCTTAAGCAGCAGTACTTGTATTCAGATTTTAGTGGGCACACAGATGTTATAATGGTGGTGTGGAAACCAAGTGTATAAATGCGAGGCAATTTATCAGAATGAGTATCCATGTATTTCCAAACAACATTGCTGTAACATATTGAGAACACAAGTTATTCATAATTGTTTGAAATGATCAATGTTCATGACAAGCTATAAATTGTATGTTGACATCAATTTCTTAACAATTGTCATGGCTTTATTTATGCAAAATATCATTTTACAACCTAGAACAATGTCTTTTCAAGTATTATTTTTTACTGAACTAAGATTTGTCTTATATATTTTTATGTTTACATCTTAATTGTTTTTTAAAAAGATTATTAATTATTTTTCTGCATGCCTGACATGTTCAGCTGTGAAATGAGTCTGTGATATTACTTAACAACAGTATTGTATTGCCATAGCCATGCAGGCGTACTGTAGATTACACTTGATTGCAGTATTATGCAGATGACCTGTAACCCCGGGGCTGGGTGGATCACAGGTAGAAACCATGTCACTGGATATCAATGCTATGTATATGTACTGTAAAGAATATTGAAATAAATATTACAAGTAAATTACTATGAAAATGACTTGGTGTTTCATGCAAAAATGTTTCTATTAAATTTAACATCAGTGATTTTATGTTGGAATGCAAAATACTCTATTGGAGTGGGATAACCTGCCAGAGTGTTAAATTCTCAGTCATATACATGTATGCACAAAAAAAAATTGATACTGAATAAAATAAGGACTATACTGATAATGAATGAAGACGTGGAACAGAAGTGAACATTGTAGCTTGGGCTTCATGTTTGATACTGCCTACTTGTCTGTTACATATATATCTACTGGGTGTTACTGCCAACATCTCTGTTACAGGTATATCTACTTGGTGTTACTGCCTACTTGTCTGCTCCAGGTATATCTACTGGGTGGTACTGCCCACTTCTCTGTTACAGGGATATCTACTGGGTGTTACTGCCAACATCTCTGTTACAGGTATATCTACTGGGCGTTCCTGCCTACTTGTCTGTCACAGGTATATCTACTGGGTGTTAATGCCTACTTGGCTGTTACAGGTATATCTACTGGGTGTTACTGCCTACTTGTCTGTTCCAGGTATATCTACTGGGTGTTACTGCCTTCTTGTCTGTTACAGGTATATCTACTGGGTGTTACTGCCTACTTGTCTGTTACAGATATATCTACTGGGTGTTACTGCCCACTTCTCTGTTATAGGTATATCTACTGGGTGTTACTGCCAACATCTCTGTTACAGATATATATACTGGGTGTTACTGCCCACTTCTCTGTTACAGATATATCTACTGGGTGTTGCTGCCTACTTGTCTGTTACAGGTATATCTATTGGGTGTTACTGCCTACTTGTCTGTTACAGGTACATCTACTGGGTGTTACTGCCTACTTGTCTGTTACAGATATATCTACTGGGTGTTACTGCCCACTTCTCTGTTACAGGTATATCTACTGGGTGTTACTGCCAACATCTCTGTTACAGATATATATATACTGGGTGTTACTGCCCACTTCTCTGTTACAGGTATATCTACTGGGTAGTTTGCTTATTGAAGTTATAGTGATCACAAAAACAAAGACACAATGTCATTTTAAAACACATACCTTTTAAAAGAACTTCATAATTAATAATATTAAATGGGCACAATAATGGAGTATCTTTACTATCTAATTGGTCCATGTTAAGCATGGGCATAACTAATGATGGACAATTAGTACAAAGGAGTGTAGAAAACTAAAACATATACTATAGTTTAAATACAACTCTTTGAATTCTGAACCGAACTTTCCCAACCTAGCATTATCATAAAGCCCCAGTCTCAGAGAACAACCGCGATGCAGTCTCTTCGCGGCAAAAACATACAATCACAGAGATTTCAGATGTCTCTGAAAGGTTTCACTGAGGTCGGTACAAAGTTTCAGAGCAGTCTCAAAACCTTTTCAGTCGCAGCCAGTCTTTCGTACATGCTCAAGTGACTGCATTGATGGGACCGATTTGGTTGCTCAGAAGTTTCATTGGTCTCTCTCTGTGAGGTCTCAGAGCAATGGTATTTTAAGTGCAAATTGGTACCACAGTGCGGCGATTGAATGAGCCACAACTGCAACTGTTCTACGTATGGTTTATATATTGACAACTTAATTTTTCAGAAATTTCATATTCCTTTTATTTTATGTGTGCTCCAGAACTATAGTCAATGAACGGTCCCAAAGTTCAGTTGCAGCGGTCACCAATCAGTCGCACTATCCGACTCTCATTAGATCAGTAGCCAAGTGGTGACCTCGCGGTCGCTGTCTGTATCCCTGGGACCGTGGGGACGTAACGATAGTTGTATGTAATATTATGTATCGTTACCCCGGATGGTAGATGCTATGGCACTACGGTGACCCCTTGATGTGCATTAATTAACTGCTCTTTATACAGGCTGTAATGAAGAGCCAATTTGATATCAATGTGTGGAACATGTTTTCCATGATGGGTGGAATCAATTCCGTTTTCAGTGCCGAAAGTTGTAGACCACTGCAAATGTCGGATCAATTAAAATTCATAAAACTGTAAACCATATGCCAAGGCCAGGCTTAACCAGGTCTCATTTTAATGTTAACTGCTTTGAATGTGTAACGTATTTGATCTATGTGACCACCTAATGAAATATGTACAGATGTGTATACGAGGAACCTTTAAGCACTCAAGCCAATGCCCATCCAGCTGTCGGACATTAGGACTTTGGCTGTTCTCTCAGAAGCTGTGCAAAAAAAGTTGTCAGGCGGACGCTGCAAAACACTATAAGATCATGGACTTTGTAAGGGAGTGATATTTAATCCCAACTTCACAGTTTAATAAGTCTGCTAAGATATCTGATGATCTGATAGCGTGACGTCGGTTATAACAGGGACGTATAATGTCCCTGGTTATAATCATAATTATATCAAGGAGTGACTAGAGCGACATACGTACACGTGCTGGTTGTATGATTTATTGGACAGTTGGACGAAATAATGCAGCGAAGTTTAATTAGTTTCAACAAGAAAATCAGCATTTATTTAGCCTATGAAAAATAACAATACTGGTATATGTCAAGAATCAATGGTTTCTTTTTCTTTTTCGACAGAATTTTTAATTTTTCCCAAACTGATTAACGCTGCGAGGTAGTCTTTAAATAGTGCAAAGCAGATAAAAGTAAAGAGTTAATTTTTAGCCGTATTACTTCATCTAAATCATAACGACGGTGCGCATATATATCACAACGAAAATTTCTGTTCGTTGTAATGTGTAGTTTGAAAGTAGAATTCCAAGACGTTGAATTGTAGTCCAAATATAAAATTTGTTATATAACTGTATCTAAGTCGGCTGGCGATTTGTGGAGTATCCAAAAATCTACCCGTACGGGTCCTAGCTCCTAACTGATTACAAGACATGTAGAACATTGATACATTGACAATTAACACATTAAAGTTAATTTGATTGACAGCTGTCACTTATCTCTCTATTCTGACTGGTGAGTACCCGAACAGGCAAGGCAATTAACCTGTCCTTTGTCCGAAACTTAAGTGTCATACTTGGTAAGACCAGTTAATCTCATTACGTAACATACGAAAGGTATAATCACGAAATTATGTTATCTAAGTCCGTGGTATAATGTTCAAGTTCAAGTTCAAGATATTTTATTAAGTATTTCAAGGCCAACTAGCCCATTAGTACAATTTGCACAGTACATAATAACCATATTCACACAATTTTTACATCAAAAGCAATTTCTGCAGAGTACCTTATAACGTACAATTTACTAATATATAGCACTGACTTCCGATTTAATAATACTAAATTTGTGATGTCACAGATATAATATAATTTGATCTTGCTTCAAAAGCTAAATATACAAATTTAGCAACATTTCTTAATTTATCTTCATTTCCAGTTATTAACATATATTTTGCTTCAACATAGTTTTCCAATGCACACATTTGTCTTATATGTTCATATAATGGACAGTGTAATAAAAAATGATATTCATCTTCAATGAGTCTTGTATTGTTTGTATATAAACAGTAATTACATAATCTTTCTTCCCTTGGAATTTTTAGTTCACGACCTTTTTCAATAAATAATTCATGACTGGATACACGCAGCCTGGTTAGAGCAATTTTATGAGACTTATTTGTAATACAATATAAGTATCGTTCGGGTTCAATTAAAGTTTTGACATCCGAGTAAAAATTCAGTTTATTAGAGTTATTTATTCCAAAATCCCATTCTTGCATACAAGTGTCTTTTACTCTTTGGGTAAACAGTCTCATAAAACTATTTACATCGCCAACTTCATGATATATCCATACATAATGAAATCCATATTTGTACAATAGATCTCTAATATTTGTAGCCCAAGTTACTCTTCCAGCATTGTGTAAATTTACTAACATATCATAGCACCTTCGTGGATATCTAGAGGAGTCCATACTTAAAATATTAAACCAATACTTTATACACTTTTTATAATAAACAACACACATGGGATGTCTCCCTAATTCACCCAGAACAGCCAAGTTTGAAGTTGATTGCTTTACTCTCAATAGTCTTTTAACAAACTTTGTTTGTACAATTTCTATGCCNAGTTATACTTTGGCTACGGCCATCCCGTCATCCTCCAAAACTTGAGTTCCCGTCATTTTGTCTGCGATCGGTTACAAGATATACTTCGCTTACACAGGTGTCATATTTATAAATATTTCTCCCAGCTGTAACTTTATCATAATTTAAAAACACTTTCTTTCCAGGATTTTCAGTCTTTATGCTGGGTATCGCGTCCAGTAGTTCCTTTCTAATATTTCTCAGTTCCTGGCTGTAGTCTTCCGAAACCCTAGTTTTCCCTTTATAACCACTGTCTTTCGATAGTTTTTCTTTCACCGCGTTTTTTACCCTCTGTTTATGTTTCCACCTTCCGAACTTTACTATTATTCCTCTTGCCTTACTATTTGGTCCTACTTTCTTCCTTCCCAGTCTGTGTGCCCGTTCACTAATTAAAGTTAATTTGATTGACAGCTGTCATTACTGTAACTGGTAATAGTTTCGTGGCACTTCTTTGTACCTTTTATATGGACTCGTAACACTGACTGCATATTCTAAATGAGGTCTTACTAATGCCATGAAAATAAGTTTGAATGAAACACGATCCAAATAAACGAATAATCTCCTAATGAGTCGAGAAATTAAGTTTCCCGTCTACCAACATCCCTATGTACCTATGTCCTTTTCTTGTGAGATGTCTTTTAGATTTATCCTTCCATCTCGAGATCCCTTCAGGTCCTTGAAGGGAAGGGGGGGGGGGGTCGACATCACCGGCCCCCATCATCCCACCTCCCGTCCCCTTTCTCCCCCCTTTCCATCTATAACATCCCGCCCCATCGGGTATAACAAACAACGCCGGAGTATATCAATTGCATGCTAATTGATGTCCATATGATCCTCCGTGGTAGGTATCGTTATGACCTGTCCTGTTTTAGTTCTGATCACGATCAGTGTCTATGATGGTTCTGTGATATATTCACTTCTTATTACATGGACGACAACTAATTTGTGATATTTTCTGGATTCCTACATGCTAAATCTTTGACTTGAGGAAAAAACGGACAGGGGGTCATTATTTCCCGGTTCCCGCCCCCTAACTCATGGTTCCCGCCCCTAACTCCCGGTTCCCGCCCTAACTCCCGGAAACCTCCTTCCCTAGCCCCCGGTCTCCCGCCCCCTATCCGCCTCCCTCCTTGAACTCGATGGTCAGGTGGTTGCGCCCCTCCCTTTCCGCACCTCACCCACTCCATAATCAGGTGCGCACCCCTTCCCCACCATGATTGAGTGACTCACCCATCCGGTGCCTGTGGGTAACTCAGGATGGGGAAGGAGGGGCGCGTGACCCTTCCCCCGTAGCACCCCACCCCACCCCGTCACCCAACTGGCGCCGTACCTATGCAATATTTGCGCTCATGAGTGGGTTTGGGTGCATATGGACTTTGTATGGTTATATTATTGATTGTATCAAAAGTAGGGTGATCATATTAATAGTATATGCTGTACTCTTGTGTTACTGTATATATGTTATGTTGTATTTTGAACCGATGAACCGTAAGCCTCAAGTTAAGTTTAAAAGTACTTGAACTTGAAGACAACTGCTTTAATTTTGAGACTCTCCTTAATGTTGATTTGCATTTCTCAAACCTCTGTTAAAATTATGGTATTATCACACTTATTTTTGTACTAATTTCCACTTCAGTATGATAATGTACCAGTTTCATAAGGATTAAAAAAAAACGAAATCGAGTTTCTTTTGATGTCTCGTTTTTCAACGGCTTCCAAAGTCGTGAAATGCTTTCAAAAACGAAAACTGTTCAACCAACAGTTTTTTGTAATAACCAATAGATATAGCGATTTTCAATAACGAAAATTAGTCATTTTTTTTTATAGAGGTAAATTAAAGTATATTAGAAGTGCATTCAGCCATAACATACAAAGGAATTACGCAACTGTGTGGTAGTCATGAATATACGGAAGTGTGCCAAGATGCTTAAAAAACATCACATCAAAACTAAAAAAGAGAGACTTTACAGGGTAATATACACCAATCTGAGGCCAGATAATTTGTTGATTTTATGATGGAAAGGTGTTGAAATGCAATCTCCGGCCATCTACATATTCAAAATAATCAGGGGGAGACCCCCCGTACCCCCCTTACGAGAGGGGGGCATCCATGTCCCCCTCTCGTGCTCTACCCCCGGCTCTGGCCTATACGGCCCTCGTTGGGCGGCCTGTGGCCGCCCGTATCCGCCCCTGCCACCCTCCTCGTATATCTTAGTATTTTTGCCGAGAGTCGATCTAAACCCTTAAAACATGTAAAATAACTCTAAACACCTTAGTTTATGTCCAAATATAGCTGTGAAAAAAATCAGCATTTTACATCCAATATATCCGTAGTCCGTTATAACGTAAATCAAGAGCCGGACTTTAGTAAGGCTTTTCCGGGCAGCAACGGAAAATTACGAACATTAAGCGACGCATTATAATCTAGCATTATCCATAAACTTGAAATAAAAAGATAATTCTTGAATGGCGATCATGCAAGATATTACATTAACACCAAAAAAGTAAACAAAATGGTTTATATAAAATAATCATATAGGTTCGAGGTTATTTCTACTGAACGTCATCGCCAACCAATCAGATAGCTATATACGTAGCACGTGCCCGAACCAAGCTCTGTGAATCGGCCATTCTGCAAACCACCCCTGCCGACAAAGAACACGGTGAAACGATCAGACAAAATAACATCATGGCAGAAGAAGCAGGCGAGTACAACTACGAGGCAAATGGTGAAGGATTCGAACAGGGAACAAGTTTTGAAAACTTCAGCGGTGATGCTGAAGCTGCAGAGCCCATGGACGACACAGAAAAAGCCGGTGGCGAGTCTGGGGAGGCCGGGGACGACGACGAAGACGACCGGTAGGCTATGTTTGAACGTATTCTATTGTATCGAATTTGGCGTCATAATGGATGCTGTGTGTGCATACATTGTAATCGTGCGTTCAGTGCATGGAATCCATTTAAAATACACATTTCTTTCGCGTTTGAATACATATTATTCTTATCCCTTTCGTGGATAATTGCGCCGCTCGAAACGTGCTGCAAATGGCGCCCATTAACTCGTCACGTGATCCACCGCGTGGGTAAGCTGCCATTGTACACTTAAGATTTTGCAAAATGAATTCCTATTTAAATGAAATAAAAGTAAAATTTACCTATACTTTTCTTTTAGTAAATTGTTTGTGGGAAACCTGAGCTGGGAGACCGGGCAGAGTGAGTATGCTAAATTGTTCATACTTTCCTTATGTTGCTGGTAATTGTTTCAGCCTATGACGCATAATAAAAAGCACTCGATTGCAAACGTGAGGTAGATGAAAGGGATGCAGAACGCAATAGCAGCTATTGTTCTAAATTATAATGAAATAATAACGGATCATGCAATCCAACTTGTATGTCAACTTGCACAACTCTAGACATGCTTTGTTGTTGCAAAAAATATATTTTATCTATTGTGCTAATTATTTTCTAACGCGTTTTGTTTTAAGTTGAGTTTCAAGAAATTGTACTAAGGTTATTCATTACATAAGGAAGCGTCCTGAGATGCAATCTATATTTAGTTGAAAGATTAATGGCCTTTTTTGATTGTTCAAGGACAATACAATATGGCTGCCACACCGAACTGTATATCAAATTCAATAATGTATTCCGTTGGCATTTAACAATCCCTGTCACAAAATAATCCTCCAATGTTTTTATTTCACTTTGTTTCACATCGATTCCAGTAATAAAATTGTTGCCCAAACGCTGGACTATTGCCCATATGCGTCTTTGTGCCCAATCTGATCAATAGAGCGTACAAAAGAATAATAATTAAAAAATAATCTGAGGTTCTTGCATACCGCATTTTCGAAACCTAGTTCATAGGTCGACTCAAACCGGCTGAATGCTCCGCTGGGGAGCCTGCAGCCGGCGCTGCCTTTTTGGGACTTGGGCTAACATCCAACATTTCTAGCACTGCCAAACCACCGACTCTTTTACAGTCGAGTAGAACTAAACAAGTATCATGCTCAAAGTTTCAACTCTTCAGTCATGAACCCAGCGTCCTACCATAAAAAATAGATCTTTTGATCCATGTGCGACATGTGTGTGAAAGTGATTTTTCTAAAATATCGATTTGAAGAGGTTATTTCCCGCATATTATAGAGGGCCGGAGTTCTGACGTTAATCGACGACGGACCGATATAAAAGAAATCCATTGAATTCGGACTAGGACTACTGTAGTTCATGGGGAACAGTCTGTGATTCGTCACCACTCACCAGAATTGATAACTTTTTGTGTACACAGGTTCCTCATTGTATTATTAATTTATTGTGCTTCAAATAACTAAAACCTATGTATAAGCCACTCTATCAATATGCAGTGCTACAATTCTGGACTTCTTGTAGTTGTCCAATTCCACTAGCCTGACCTTCTGGACTAAATTAATCTGGTATCTGTATGCATTAGCTGGTAAACATGACATTTGCTTGCAGAGGACCTTAAAGATTACTTCACAAAGTTTGGAGAAGTCACAAGTTGTACACTAAAAACAGACCCAGAGACGAGAAGATCTCGGGGATTTGGATTTGTTGTATTCAAAGAGCCAGTAGCTGTCGATCAGGTAATTGTTGAATTTTTGCCTTCAACCATTTGTTTATTATGGTACCCCTGGTTTTTTTTCTGTAACTGTACCTGTGTTTGTTATATCTGTAACTATCCTAGAGTTTGTTTGCTATAATTATATATGTGTTTACAAATACAGTAGGTATGTATAAGGCCAAATAAAAATGTGTTTCCCAAGCCGACCCCATTTTTTCATGCAGACTCCAAATGATGCTGACTGTTGGGAGACAAACTTAGCAGGATTTCAGCAGCATCAAACATTTTAATGTCAACATTCTTATTGATGTGCCCCCGTTTCTAGAACATTTAGAAATAGTAAATTATTCAGAAAACATGGAAATTTTACTCAACTAATTTTGATCACTGGATGTCTGATCCAAAGTTCTTAAGTATGGGGGAAAATAGCTAGTAGTAAAATGTTGAGAAAATCTTGATAAAAACTGAGGGCTGATGGCCAGTCTCGCATTTTTAATGTAGCAGGATCTTGCTAAGGGACAGATAGTAAGGTAGTTCAGCTTGGGAGTTGAAGGAGAAGAGTTGAGTCATGAGGAAAGAGGTTGAGTTGGGTAGACCAAGTTGAGATATAGAGGAGAGTTAGAAAGTTTTAAAAGAACTTTAGTGAGAATTAGGAAGTTAGTAGTAGTTTTAGTTGCAGTTTGTAGATCTGTGTAGTTTAACAGTAGGAGGTTAGTTTGGAGTTTGGTGAAGACTTAAATATTTTGTGACAGATTAAAAACTTGTGTTGTAAATATAAATGTACTTATTTTGTTGATCAATTAATTTGAAGTGGTGGCAGTGGAAACTGAGAACGGAAAGCATCAGTAATACAAAAGAGAACGTAACACTGGTGACCATCAGTGGAGTTTGGATTGCTAAAAACGAGTGTCCAGCAATAGGGATAACTTAGAAATGCAACACTGTTGGCAGCGCTAGGTTGTTCCATAAACATTTAGTTTCGTTTGGGCCTGCTCAACACAACTAGGGATCATGTATTTGTTTTATTTGTGTTTATTTTTCATAAATAAATATGTATTTGGTGCCATTCATGCTCAATTAAAACAATAACATATTTTTAACATTCACAAAGGTGATCAGGAGATTTTCTTTACCAGGGAAAAAATGTTTTTCCTACCTACCTAATACCTATCTGTTTTTTGAAGCAGAAACAGGAAAAGCATATATTTATTTTTTGCTTAATTAATAAACACAGATATTAAACAATGTGAAATATTGCAATAACACATTAACAGGAGTTGAAATAACTTAATTCTTGTAAAAGAAATAAGCTTTATATTTAATATAGTTTAACAATTGCAAGTCCAGATAGCCACTGGTGATTGACAGCAATAATCTGACATCGACCATAGAGGCCTGTTTCTCAAGTGTTATTGACTTGTATATGGAGGTCTTCCAAGGGGTAGTGACACATGGTCTACCAGACATGGCACAGTAGACCAAATTAGGAATTTCTTCACTCCAAAAACATGTTTTGTGTCTCCAATTTTCAAGAATAGCCCTGTGCAATAAGAACCTAGGTGTACAGTCTTGGAAAATAATGTATCAAAATATACACCCGATGGGTACACTCGATACAATACCAAGCTTGGTTAAAATTCTGCCACAGAAAATAAATTATCACAGAGCAAATAATGTTGGGTAACTTTGTAATTTTAAATGACAAATTGGAGCCTTCCAATAACTTTGACCTCTTTCAACAATCAGCATTGCTCAGCTTCCGTCTTTTAGCTTAACTGTTGTAATTTTCAAGCTGCTTGGACTACTATTAACTGCTGACAGATTTCACATCCGGGGTTTATCTGGGTGCGTTTTAGATTTGTTTAATTCCATTTCACGACTTTAAAATTTCCAAAATGCAGTACATGTAGGAAGGACAAAATGATCATGTTATAAAGACGGGCTCAAGTCAAAAATGATTTCATGTATTCAGAGTTGTTTAAATTCATTGTAGGGTCAGTTTCCCCAAAAAAACCTCTATAAACCCCTGCACTTTCTGTTATAACAGGAACACATTCGGTGCGAGAAAGCCCCCTGATTTTGGTGTTATGCGGCCTCATTCTTTCTTGCTTCGGTTTCAGGTATTAGAAGATAAAGAACACAAACTTCAAGGACGAGTAATAGACCCAAAGAAAGCAAATCCTAGGAGAGAAGTAATAAAGAAAATATTTTGTGGAAAGGTGGATCCCGGTGTACCAGAAAGTGACATTAGGGAATATTTCGAAAAATTTGGAAAGGTATATGACTAAAAGCCCACATTATCTTAATTTATACGATTGAAGTTACTTTTCACATTTTATAATTATGCTTGCACAAAGTTTATATTTTCATTTTACCTCCAGTCAAGCTCTGCAAAACTTGAATGAGTTTTTCAAATGTCGTTAATTGGCTCAACTTTTTTTTTGGTTTTAAAAGAAGTCGATCTGACAATGTTTTAACCCTTGAATTACTAATTAGTTAATATTTTAACATTAAATGCTAATTTTATCAACTTAACTCTGATTATTAGATCGAGAAATTGGACCTGCCATTCGACAAAATAAAGGATCAGAGGAGGGCTTTCTGTTTCATTGAATTTGAGAAGGAAGAAACAGTGAAAAAAATCATAGATGGTTGTCCACACAAACTTAATGAACAAGAAGTAAGTACTTGTGTTTCATATTGAAGGAAGCTTTTCTTGTATATATGACAGTTGTAGACTAAATTGATTCATGTCTTTTTCTCGTTACAGGAAAGAATAAAGTAAAGTGTTTGACTTTGAAAAGATTTATTTATGCTTTTTAATACTTTGCACGGCAATGTAAAAAAAGCAGTCGAACCTGCTTCTGAAATCAACATCTCTCAAAGAATTTTCTGTTGGGATAAGTTAAGCGGTAAGAAGTAAATCATGCTGGTAAAGGATGAATGATAATGTGAAGGTTTACATGTACCATGTGACTGACACTATCCTCCTTTTATTCCACTTTCCAGCAAGATGCCGGTAATGAGTGGATGCAAAGGAGCCGAAACAGTTGATTGAGGTCTTGGGCTAGAGGTACCAAATGAACTAAATGACAGTTCCCAACCAAAGCATCTTATTTTCTTTAACAACCGTTGAATTATAAGCTAAAGAAAATAGGGTTGCGATTAATTTTTAATATCATTCACTTTATGTAATTATTAATGTATTTTTGTTTTGAAACTTTTCCAGCATTAAGGATCCTGGTTCTTCACATCAACAGGTGCTTTATATTCATAACTGCCCTGGCTAACTGGACCTCCTTAAAGGCGTTTCTAGTTGTCCAATTTGCTCGCAGCCCTGTAAAGCATCTTGATAGTCTTTTCTTGTAAAGCTTTTAAAGTTGCAAATGTTTATCTTGTGGTTAGTAATTTGGTGTTTTATTCCCAAAAGATTGATGTGAAGAAAGCCACACCAAACAATCAGAACAAGCGAGGAGGTCGAGGAGGTTTTGGTGCCTGGGGAGGAGGCTGGGGTGGTGGCCGAGGAGGAGGTGCACGTGGAGGCCGAGGTAAGGACAGGTTTTAACATTTTGGTTTGGTGCAAGTATTATGAATGACTTTAAAGCAGAAACATTTCCATTCAAAATGAAAAAGACGAGCTTCATTTCGAGGTCTGTTACTTTGGCTGCAAATTTTTTTGGCTCTCAATCTTCACACGATTTCACTTGTATAGTTAATATTTAATTTTTCTCTTTGAGTATAGTTAAAAGTTAATTTTTCTCTTCGAATTGGCGGTAAAAAGCAACAGATTGCATCTTGAAAAGCAAAAGAAACAGTTACACTTTATGCAGTGTTGTCGTCCACATTTGTTTCTGTGAAATTACGCTTAGTTTTGAAATGCAGAGATTTTCATTATCCTTTTATACACAGATACTTGGCCCAATTTAATTTAAATGGCTGCCATTGGTAATCTTTGATATTGACTAGAATTTTTTTTAAAATGTTATGACGCATAGGAAAAGCATTTATTCTCCACTCGAGTTTGATCTAAAAATTCAGTAGGCAGGAGGCTGTCTGTAGCCATTTTGGATTTGATCTGGTATTTACAGACAATATCATGGAAATTTTAGTAAACATTCCATTGATGTCCCTTGCTCAAGTTTGATGTTTGGCAGAATATTCATTTACAGATGAATACAGGCTGTTTACCCTAGCCAAAAAATGTCTTCATTTTCCACAAAACTCCAAAAAATAGGAATTTCCAAATTTCAGTTGAAAAAATTCTATATTTTCCCAATTCATGATGGAACGCTGTTGTAAGATTTTGGAAAAAAATCCACCCGATATTAAATGAGGATAAAGCAGACTTGGTGCCTCATAGTTTCTGGATATATATTTTTTGTTTATGAATAGCTAGATTTTGATGTCAATCGTTTCCTTCTTGACCGCTTATGGTTTTTGGATTGTTCGAGAGATTTATAAAAATAACAAAGTATTGCTCACTGAAAACATTTTATCTGAGCCAGGTGTATGGAAGCCGTTTGTCAAAGCAACCCATTGCGCATGTTTTCATGGCCACAAAATCAATAAATTCAATATTTATTGTGACAATTTAACTTGTACTTTCAGGCGGAGGCTGGGGAGGTCAAGGCTACAACAACAATTATTACAACAACTACAACCAAGGATATGGAGGATACGGCGGATATGGTGGATATGGAGGATACGACAACAGTTACTACCAAGGATATGGCGCCGGATGGGGTGGATATGATCAGAGCTATTATGGAAGCTATGGTAAGTTAAAAAAATATCACAAGCTGTATTAAACAAAAGAAATTCTTACAATTGAAAATGATTCATGATATATAAATGAGTTATATAAACGAAATGTTTGATCTTATTTTCTATTCATTATAATTAGTTATGCTTTTGATTTTTAGTACTTAAAACTAGGAAATTTGTTGAATAATTTGCATGTTGCAGGAAATTGCTGAAGTGATGATCATTAAACTGTTTTTGTTGTTTATGTGCATGGTCTTGTGTTTTCATTTTGTATATATATACTATGTTAACTTGACAAAGTGAAGTGAACTGCTGCTGAATTTGCTATAAATTGTTTATACTAAATATTTTTTCTAATGCTACATTTTAGAACTGAATAAAGAGTAACCATCAACACACGTTTCTTCCATTCCTGGTAGTTGCCCTATTTTCAATTAAAATAAAGACAAATGTGTCTAGAATGCTATTTAAGTGCAGGGATAATCCTGGAGGGGCCATGGATGAAGAGTGTCATGATTCACTTTACCCAAGATTTCGATGCGTATCTCGATATTTGAACCATTTGATACACCTTTATTTTAAATTATGAACAAAATGAGATATATTTATCGACGGCTTATATTTCACACTTTTGATTTGAAGCTTGCCAGAGCATCGCAAATTCTTTTCCTTGCGGCAGTCCGCCATTTTGTTATGAATGCTTTGTGAAAATTGCATCCTCAGACGATTGGTTGATGGTTTAGAGATCGGCCAATGAAATAGAATGTCTCGCAGACGTTTCGGCTGAAGCAGCATACACTAATATTCAGATTGTGACGTATGGAAAATCCGTAAAAAAAATATTGTGAATCGAACATAAATAATCACGGAACAAGTTCATCGCAGTGAATCATGACACCTCTAATTGAATGACCCCTCCTTAGTTTACATAAACTAAAAAATGCTGAAAATGGCCCATTGCTCTCAAATTCCAGGGTTTCCCTGCAACTGCAAAAGGTATTCCTAAAATTTGATAAATAGAAGTTTATTGTGGTGCTAAATACAAAGAAACCTCCAATTATATTGGAATTGAAATAAAAATCCATATCAACACCCTTCAAAAATATACTAGACTGAAACAAAACCAAGTGTTGGGTCCTAGTTAGGGGGTCAGTGGAATGATAAATATGGAAGGGAATACTGAAGAATTGAGTTAAGTGCAAATAATATAAAAATTGGTGTAAATATGTGAACAATATTCTATATATTCAACAATGGAAGTCGGGAATTGAAAAAAATGTGCTATTAGGATAAAACTGTAAAAAGTAAAGAAATCAGGTAGCCATTGTAAGTAACAAGACTACCTTGATCTTTTATAGGAGGCGATTATAATGGAGGATGGGGCTATGACCAAGGTGAGTTACAGGAAGAGGTGTAATTGGTAATGAAACCAACGTAGAATATTTTCATTTCCAGTCTACCGAATTAAACATGAAATTGAGAGAAAGATGTTCAGGGAAATTCAACTTTGAACCACTGATGGTGGTTTGCAGGATTATGTGCATCCTTTAAATGAAAAATCACCTATTGGATGGGGGTGATTATTTATAAAACTTAATTGTAAAAAAAAACTTTTTTTATAGAAAATTGTACATTTTATGTTGCCAAAAATAATGAGGTTACAATTTTGAATCGATGAAAGAACTGAAAACTGGTGTCGATCTGATCAAATGTTGATCAACAACATATTGCATGAAGCATTCAATCATTTTGACGATGAATTTGTAGCATCAAGGACTTCACACTCAGTCAGGTAACCGCTGTTACAGTTTTGCTTGCAGTTTTCTTTCCTGTTGATATACTTGGACCATTGTATATCAAATGCCTGCTTTCTTTAAGTCTTCAACTAAAATCAAGTGGGTAGTTTAATAACCCATTAATGAAAGCAGTGTGATTTGTATTATGTAATGGTTCAAGTTAAATATTGAACAGCATTTTATTTCTGGTCACTTTACATTGACAGGAGCTTGCTTTGTTTAGAATCATATTTTCATAATCATCATGGAATTTGCAGTTCGAAGGATGACTCTTGGGTATAAAATACCTGGGATGATTCCATTCTGTGACCAGAAATCAAATGTTTGTCATTTTGTGACTTTTTTTGTAGTTCCTTATAATGTGCACTGCAAGTTTGCAAGAATTGACCTCTTGGATAATGCAAATATTTTGGATGTCAAATGTAAAATATTTGAAAAACAATTGTATTTATAACTGAATATTTCATTGAAATCAACATTTTTACTTGATATTTCCTCGCCATGTAATAATTGTTTTGAATAACTGGATAACCTTGCAGAGTGCATTTGATCATAAACTCACCTTTCCACAGGTACAGATCTTTCTGGTCACTATTTATCTCAAGGTCTGTCAAGGTAACTCTGCAAGGTTTCTGAGTAGGTTGGGGTGATCAAGAACTAAGAGGTCCGTTTTGCTAACCTTTGTAGTGTGTAGTACTCCATGTAAATAGCAATAAAACCAACCGATGGATAAAATCAATCAATTTCTATCCGTATTCACAGGGAATCAGCAACAGAGCACCTATGGCAAATCACAAAAAGGAGTCCGAGGGGCTGGTGGTGGGTACCACCCATACAGCCGATAAACAGGTAGGCGTGATTTATGGATTGTCATATCCATCTTGGTATACTTGCAGAGTGGGGTTAGTGTTACATAAAAGACCTTGTTACTGTGATTAGGAAATCTACCTGTGGTAAGGTGATCATTAATGTTTGCTGCTGTTCATCATTATGAACCCTTAAGATTGGCTTGGTTTATTTAGTTTGATATTATGATTTAAATGCAACCAGCTGTGGCAAGAACAGCTACTGCACATTGGTTGTATTGATGTTATTAATTTGTTTTATGGAAAGTAAAGTTTTAAGATTTTTTACAGTACTTAGTTAGAAATTTATCTTGAACTGTTTGAAATTTCCCCATTAATTGAATCTTGGAAAGTTTTCTTTGCAGGTGCTTTACTCTGCATTTTTTTGGCTTGCTTTCCCCTCATTATTCTAATTGTGTTAATGCAAGAGCTGCAATATATAATTTGAACTTTTAATTCATTTGTTCTTTTTCTTTTCCTCCCAATCAGAGTGAAGAAAGTGTCGGTTGCCAACAAACATTGAATCATGTTTCATTGCCTCATTTATCATCACATGCTGGACACTGTGTTACATCATTCCAAGAAGGATACTACAGTGACATTGAATAAACAATTGACTGAAATACCAGTTTCATTAAATCTCATATTTGATTTTTTATTGTCTGATCGTTGTCTTGTAAACAATAAAACTGAATTTTTTATTCATTTGTTATTTGATTTTTATACCCTGCAAATATTAACTTATTCATAATTTACAAATTGTGACTAGGAGATCAGTGTGTTGTGAATTTGTGAGCTTTGGTCAAGATTTGGACGGGTACTTGACATGATTACCCGAGATGTGGCTGTGTAGTAGTGTGGAAAGGAACTGAAGCACTGAGTAACCAACTGGCAATACTTAACTGCAAACAGAACATTTGACAAAATGACAAAAGATGCATTTACTGTTGACAAAATTCATATCAAAGGAGATTGGAAAAGACCAAACATGAACCAATGAAAATCTTGTCATGGCAAGCAAGAGCCACCATCCTTCAGTTGACACATAAACGACTTTGCTATTATAATGATATACAACATTTGATTAGTGCCCCATCTAGCTAACATAAGCCACTCTAAAGCGCTTTACAGTACATGGATACAATTAGCATAACTACTAGTCCTATGTCACCTGGCTAATATCTCCCTATGTGTGTGCTGGAGATATCATTTATAGTGCCACCTCACTTGAATGCATACTGCAACACCCACCCCAGACCATTTTATACTCCACCTAGGTTGTATGGGCAGGAGATGAACACTTTTTATGGTCACCTGAGAAAAAGTCTCCAGTGACCTATTGGATCGCCTTTTGTCCGTAAACAATTTACATTTTCGACTTCTTCTCCAAAACCTCTGACCCAATTTCAATGAAATTTTGCAGAAACCTTCCATCGCCAAAGGTCAACTAAAAATTGTGAATTACATGGTCGCCAGCCCCCAGGAGCCAAAAAGAGTGAAATTGACTAAAATCTTCTTCTCAAGACCCAGATATTGTAGAATCAAATAGTCTTCATGGATGGAAGGGTCTTAAGGTGCTTTACCAAATTTGTGAATTTCATGACCCTGGGGTCTCACGTTTTCCCCAGGGGAGGGGGAAAACTTGACTATCGTTTACATAGGGAAATCACATTTTGGACTAACATTTGTTTAATTGCCATTGGAAGTAATTCCATTTGGGTTAGAATTATCAGTATTTGATAGCAGTTTGATGATATGCACATATCAGCCCAGCAAAATTTGATACTTTGAATATTACATGTTTATAACTTGATTGGAATTATAGCCCTAAGTTGACAGTTTGATACTTTGAAAATTTTGAGCTGTCCCTACCTCCAAGGGCTGTAGGGTGGGGCCCAATGGAGTCTGTGTGCTAAAATAAAATTTCTTCATTTTCCTTGGTTAGAATCGGTGGTGCTAGTTTCAAATACTTTTCAGTCTTAAATCTGCATGCTAGATATTGAATAAGGTGGTTTTATTGTTTTTTGTCACTTTGAATAATATTTCTGTTCATGTTAAAAACAAAAATCAACTCTCTGTATAAATATATCGGGTGACTGTTAAGGCCCATGGGCCTCTTGTTCTAATATTCCATGCCTATGGCGACTTAGGGGATCGAACCCTGGCCACCTGCTTGGAAGGCTGGAGTGTAAACCACTCGACCAATCCGCCCACAATTATATTTATATTGGTTGACCTTGTTTTAAAAGAATTTCTGGCCAAAAGATTCTTGATGCTTTTATTTTTAGGTTACCTGACCATAGGTCATGGTAACCTATTGTGATGGTCTTTTGTCTGGCGTCGTGCGTCATGCGTTAACTTTTCCTTGTGAACACGATAACTTCAGTAAATGTTAACCAAGTTAAATGAAACTTTGTATGCAGCCATATATCAATAAGATCCCGGACGAGTTTGAAAAAAGGAATTATTCGACATTAACTTACCGAGTTATTGCCCTTTGTAATAATATTATTAGTGGACCCTGTGAACACAATTACTTGAATAAATATTAACTGAGTTTGATGAAACTTTGTATGTAGCCATATGTCGATAAGAACTCGGACGAGTTTGAAAATGGGAATTATTTGACATTAACTTACAGAGTTATCACCCTTTGTAATAGAATTATTATTGGGCGTTGTAAACACAATAACTTGAGTAAATGTTAACCGAGTTTGATGAAAACTTTGTATGTAGCCATATGTCAATAAGAACTAGTTTGAAAATGGGAATTATTCGACATTAACTTACAGAGTTATTGCCCTTTGTAATAATATTATTAGTGGACCTTGTGAACACAATAACTTGAGTAAATGTTAACTGAGTTTGATGAAACTTTGTATGCAGCCATATATCAATAAGATCCCGGATGAGTTCCAAAATGGGAATTATTCGACAGTAACTAACAGAGTTATTGCCCTTTTTATAATATTATTATTGGACTTTGTGAACACGAGAACTTGAGTAAATGTTAACTGAGTTTGATGAAACTTTGTATGCAGCCATATATCAATAAGATCCCGGACTCTAAATGGGAATTATTCAACAGTAACTTACAGAGTAATTGCCCTTTGTAATAATATTATTATTGGACCTTGTGAACATGACTACTTATTATCAATTATAATTATCAACCAAGTTTGATGAAACTTTGTATGTGGCCAGGCCTTATATCAATAAGATCTCGGATGAGTTGGAAAATGGGAATCTGACAGTAACTTACAGAGTTATTGCCCTTTGTTATGATAATATTACACTATTTTGTATTGGACCTTGTGTTCACGATAACTTGAGTAAATGTCAACCAAGTTTGATGAAACTCTGTATTTGACAGTAACTTACAGAGTTATTGCCCTTTGTAATGATATTATTATTATTGGACCTTGTAAACACGATAACTTGAATAAATGTTGACGGAGTTCAATGAAACTTTGTCCGGTAATTATTTGATGGTAACCTGCAGAGTTATTGCCCTTTGCAATTATATTATTATTTGTCCCTGATGTTGATTGACATTACACAAGAATAGATGTAAATTCATGTGGTACACCTTTTTTTCATCATGATGCATTTTTGCTACTAACAAGGTGCTATTAAAATTTTGTGCCTAATTTAATAAATCATTAATCTACGCTTTTACTTGTTTCTTTTAACCAAGAACAGAAGACATACAGTTACCAAGTTTGTTCAAAACAGACCCCTTGGGTCAAAATTGAAGTCACACCCATTTATTTCAGTTATCGTGTTCACAGTGTCCAACAATAATAGAATTACCAAGGGGAATACTAACTATGTAAGTTATGGTCAAATTGGTCCGGTATTCAAACTTATCCAAGATCTCATTGATACAAAGCTGCATACAAAGTTTCATCAAAATCGGTTCATATTTACTGAAGTTATTGTGTTCACAAGGAAAAATTCATGGACGATGCAGCAAGGTCATTCGGACCGACGAAAAGTATGAATTGGCCCCTGGATGACAGTCCTAATTTGAATCGAATGTCAGGTGATTATCAACAGATAATTAAAAGGAAAAAATACCTATCTACAAAGATTTTTTTAATGGAAATTTCTTGCAAACTTCACGATCTAAAAGATGAAGGTGCATAGAACCAAAGAAAACATGTGCAAAAGATCCCCGAGATTTCTTGAGCTGTAGAAACAATCGTTCTAGGTCAGATTGATTATATATTATTTTTGAAATTTTATATTATGTAAAATAACAATTGATTTGATTTCATGAGAAATTTTGTAAAATCGGACCATCACGTATAATTTAATATTTCAAAAGTTAACTATCTGAACTTTCAATAATGTAAATTTGCATGAAATTTGAAATTGAAATCTTAAGTATGTAGAGCTACGTTTGGTTGAGAGCAGGATTCCCACTTGGCAGCCGTCTTGGATTTCGGTAATTGAAGAATATGTTGAGGAGGATCCACCCACAATGTACCATTACCTAGAATGGAGTGCTGTCAAAAGTCATTGGGGTTTAATATGTTAAAAAGGCTTCCAGCAACATTTTCTTAACATCTAGAAAATCTAGCCATGATAATTTGGAGTGTCTAGGTCAGCTTTTAATGCCCCGCTTCAAGGAGATGGTTTACATGTCCTTCTCGTTGATGATCTAACATTTCAAACGGCACTAAATCGTAAATCGTGTACAATTTATCATGCGCACCATATAACTTTTGCCTGACTTGTTTCATCCAAATTGCACGATTTCTATCGGCAATTGAAATTCAAGCCATATTCCCGACACATTCTAACATGACGGCCTTTTCAAGGGAAGCTTACAGAGGGCACATGGCACAATTTGCATGAGCACAACTACGCGCTCGGGGTATGGATTTTTGTTTGTTTGTTTGTTTATGTTTAACGGCCCATCGACGGCTGTGGTCATTTAGGGCCATGGTGATTTATTTATTTATTTTACTTTTTTAACAAACATGTGAATAGCGAAGATAAAATCAGATAAAATGGTTCATTTTAAAAGTATTCGCATTGTATGTGTAGATAACAAAAATAATAAAAAGGAGTTAAAATAATAAAAGAGATAACGAATAGATGATATGAAATATGCGATATATATATAACGTCAAAAA